ATAATTCTGTAATTAGAATGTTTTTAATAGTTGAATAACGATAAAATATATAAGTACCATCATTTGGCAAAAATAGTGACACGAAAACGAACAGGAAACTAGATGATAAATTATTATAATTTTATGTAATTTTGAGTGTTTTGATAAATTTGATTTCATGTAATCGTAACTTTAATACCGTAATGGTAAAGTTATTATCAGTTATGTGTTATTTATTGGTTCTTGCCAATTCGGAATTGATATACATATTTTTTGAATTTACAGATACGTATAGTATCAATAAATCACGCATATACCTATAGAAATTCACAATTTATTAGTTCATATTTTATTGGTTTATAATTACGAAAATATAAATTTTTATTTATTGGACCACTTGTGTATACATTGCGGCAAATTGATGAAGTACTCCAAATTTTGAAAATTTTAACCATTAATAAAGCAATAATGACTTTTTGACTGAAATAACTGCGAGAGTGCGTCATTATAATAACTTTCTATGTTTAATAAGATACGTTAAAAGTGGGGAAGATAGATTATCATGTAAGAAAGGTAGGTTAGACGCGTTATCAATCTTGATTAGAAGTCTAAAACTTTTTTGAGGTTTAGCATTGATTTATTAATATTTAATTTGGTAACTAAAACTTATTAAAAATTGGAGACCAAATGCGCACCGAATTTTAACTTAATTTCATAAATTCACCGTGATGATAGGGTTGGCAAGATTTTGAACCGAATAACTTTGAATAATTATTACTTTATTTTATCAATTGAATTTTTTATATAATATTGTGAAATGATGAAGATGAAAAAAAAAATTAATTAATTACATAACAATATATTTGGTGATTACATAATGAAATGACTTGTATCTATTGCACGGGAATCAAACATTGCATATTCGTGTAACATTCATGCGCATAATGGGTAAAAATTCCCGTTCAGAAATTTATCCGAATCTTGCAAAGCTTAATTTTTGATTTCCTTCAGCAAAGCTCCATATAGTTGACGTTCCAGCTGCTTTAATAAAATTTGAAACTGCAGAAAAGTTTTTCAATAAGTTACTGCCGTTTGCTGATGTCAAAATTTATCAATTAGGTCATTTACAAGTGTAAGAATTTATAGAAACAGCTATAATGCAGCTCTAACAACTTCATATGTAGCCCAATAGTCACGTTATATAAGATAACGATCTCTGCAATATTCGCATATGTTTGTAACGTTTATTCTGTACATATACCCCGTCGTATGATGACGGGCTCTAATCTTAGTTATAATTGGATTTTATTCGTGAATTCATAAATGGCACAAATCGATTCTAAATTGACAAAAAATAATATACGACACAAAACAGAGCTACGGTGTATTAAACGAAAAAATAATATATGACATAAAACAGAGCTACGGTGCGCGTTATTAATCGAAAAAATTAATGCAGGCTAAACTTTTGTAATGCCAGCACTTACATAATACGAAATAGAGACTCGAGCTACTCGAAAAATAAATAATTAGTTTAATTTACAACATTTTTCAATAAATTTCGTGACTCGAATGACTCGAATAACTATAATAAAATAAATGATTTGAGTACTTGAGCCTAGTCACTTACACGAAACAATTAATTGAATCTATTTTATTGAAACTTGGCAACTTTATGATATGAAAAATGTAACACAGTCCTTTTTAATCAAACTTTTTGTGGGAACCGTATGTAGAATATGCACAAAATATATAGTGTAGTCATATCAGATTAGTCGATGCAAATGCCTTGAAGAAGGATGCAATTCAAGAACCTTACTTTGAAACGCTTGCGATTTTGAGGAAGTTTCCTTTTAGGATTTCCTCTATGCAAGGTTTGTCATCTATACTGGGAAAATGGAAACCATATCAAAGTCCAAAGGACCAATTATTACGATTGACGATACACCTGATCTAGCCAACAAGCATCGGTTATCGATTCTTTCGTTTTTTTTTATGTTACATCTGATCAAAATTAGAATTTGCTGGCACACAGACATCAGGTGTACTATTGCTCCGTCTGTAGTGTCCTTCGGCAAAAATTATCTTAAGGTAAGTCATTTTCAGAAGCTGATAAATTTGAGACTCTAGTCAACTATATCTTTAATTAGTAATAGAATGTATAATTTGAGTAATAAACTGAAACAATCCCTACTCAAATACCAATCCATTCTCAAAGGCAAGTACCGAATGGTGACTTTTCTGGGTTATGACCAATTGAGTGGTCAAGTGAAATTTAGACTTTTGGCTTTCAAGTTTATCATCGGATCAGTCCTTATCCCTTTGCCAGATAAGTAAATTTGGATATCGGTCGGTCTAGACCGAATTTGGTAAATAATTAATAATAAATTTGAAAACAAGAAGGTTTGCTTTCCCTTTGCATCGCTCATTTTATTTTGAAATCTTCAAGATTTATGAAATTACAAAAAGTTACAAAATTTTTAAATTACACCATGATAAGATCATGATATTTTGAGGTCATACCTTTTTTCAAAGCACTATAAAGATTTATCAAGCATAAAATTTAACTTCATTTATTTAGACTAAATTTGGTAAATTTTATTTCAGTAATCTACTATGTATACATATCAACATAAATAGTTACATAAAGGGTTAATTCTATCCTTTCAATATTTAAAAATCCGGAAAATCAAAATGCCATAACAAGATATTGAAATTAAATTTAATTTAGGTTTGACAGATATTTACCACGAATTTTTATTTGTATTTAAGCAAATTTTGGTTTAATTTGAACATATTAAAGCAAATTCCGAATATTTCTATCGGAGTTGGGTGATTGTTTAGAATATATTTGGACCTATTCAAAACAGAACAATTACGTATTGAAATATTTAAATAAATTCATTTAAATAAGATATTGTCTGCCATAAAATTTTGTTATCTAAGTCGAGTGAACTTTTCGTAATGGTAAGAGGAGTATGTTATCAATCTTAATAATACTAATGTGAACTAACACTAAAGTAAAACTTTTAACTTAAAGTAATTCTGAAGCAGACTTATAAGAAAACAAAGTTTTTAGACTTGTAAGAAACTATGCTTAATTTTATATGTGAAACAATATCGATATTTCATTGTTTTGTTTTGTTGGATATTCAGTAAAGAGACGAAAACTACCCTTCGCAAACCGAAATTTTAGTGTTACATTTTGTGCATGAAACAAAGCTTTATATACATGAATTTATAAGGTAATATTTATAGTAAATATTATTAATAATAAAAATATATATTTATTACGTACATTTATTTACATACTATTACTATTTTGGAACTAATGAAAGCTATTAGGCTTAAGCACATACATTGTACATATGCAAAAAGAAAACAAAGTAACATAGATATGTACATATGCATGTACGTGCATGCTATATAATAATTCCTTTTAAAGGTTTGAGTAAATTACTAAATTAGGATTTTATCAAAGACTTGACGCATAAAGCTTTCTATAAAAATTTCTATTCTCGAATGTTTCAAAAGATATCTAGTTTATCGTTAAAACGGATCGTGTGACACTATTAATAAAATATATTATTTATCAATTGTATCGCAAGAGATTCGTGAAAGATATAAATTGACCATGCTTTAGTGATAGAACATGTTTTCTAAGATTTTGTGCCGATGAATTATTATTATATAGTCAACGGTTCACACATCGGAAACGACGTTGATTGATAATTACTATGGATTCAACTCCAGTTAATACAATTTTATTAAATAACACTGAAATACAAAAACCTGCCTTCCCTGGCAAAGCTTCTCTTTTGGAAATCGCCAATAAAGCCAATAAAACCGATTTTAATAATATGAATCATGAAACTCTTACTCTTTCTAAGCTCCCTGATAAAATCAAGATTAATATTTTTAAATTTGTCCGTTCCCCGATGAATTTAATATTAACTTGTAAATTTTGGTATCAACTTTCTCAACAAAGTGAGATCAGAGCTAAATGGTTAATTTTTCATTTTGGTAAATCGCATGCATTGTTTTACGCAATTCGTCTCGGTCCAAATTTTATTAATGTTCCTGTAGTTCAAAAAATCATCGAATTTGGTGGGATATTATCTAGGTACTTTGTTCAAAGGTTTTTGCTTTCATTTGGTGCGTACGATCCAAAATTAATCCAGAAAAAAATTGAACATAATGTGGGAAATGTCGATATTGAGCAAATCCGCAAAGTACAACAAAAACATGCTATGCCTTGGGGCAGTGATACTCCCCTTGATGTATTTACGTACATTTTACTAGAGGCTTCAAAATTATTAAATCCTTCTAATAACTTTGAACCCTACTCTGATTTAGCAGTTAAGGGAAATGATATGGAATATTTTCATTTTCAAAGTGGTGGTCCATTTGTAATCAACCAAGCTAAAAAAAAGCTCGAGGAAAACTTAGAGCTTATTAAAGAGTTAATCTTAAAATGGAAATTCATACCATTTCCACCAAGGCCTAAAAATAAGCTGCATGAGGGAAAGAGTATTGAGGAATATCCCGCTAAGGATGGTTATGAGAATTGCAGACAGTTGAACATCATAGCTCGGGCAATTTTGATTCATAAGGATTTAGTTAATTTGTGGAAAGAAATTGGTTACTACGACGTTGTAAACGACGTTAACGATCTTGTAATCCAAGGTGCATTATTATTATTATTTCCACCAGTTCCAGCTAAAGACTATGTGATGCCATCTGTTAAAGAAATAATCGATAGGCTCCAAGAATTACTCAATTTAGGGTTTAATCCAACCAATGAGGTCATACTTGACATCTTGCAGCTTTTCGAAAATAGGCTGAACCATATTGGCGAAAGGATTATTCATTCATTCATTTCAATCCGTAGAAATGAAAAACGTGATGAATTTTACAAAAAAATCGTTGGAGAAGCTATTAAATCTGAGAGGAACTTGAAAAAGATTGAGGTATTGAATTTTTTGGATGAAATTATTGGAAATGAGAGTAATATTATTTTTATGGATGCGATGAGGTTATTCAGAGAAAAAAGTTCGTTTCGTTCTATCGGTAGAAAACATGTCATTAATAACTTCCAACTCGAGTCTAGAAATCATTTTAATAGCTATAAGCCGTTATTATTTAATCTCACTTTTTACAATTGGATTATTGTTAAATTTCCTGAAAATTCTGAAATTGCAAATTTTGCATTTGATGATATTTTGGAAACTAGAATAAGCCTTGACCTCTGCCAGAATACAAAAGAAGTTTCTTTCAGCGAATTTATTGGTGCAAAATTCACTGAAATATGCAACATTTTTAAAGTTTACTGCAATTTCAAGAATTTCTTTGTAGTATCACACCTTGAACTTCTTAAAAAAGCTTCTCACGAAGACATTCTTGGCCCCTTATTTGAATTCTATTTACTCGACATATTTGATCTTCCTACCACTTTTAAAATGCCAATGCAAATTACGGATGATGCCAACATCTATGTTAAATCGAAGAGAAAGAAGAAAAAACGGACAATGATAAAAAATCAAAAGTTAGAATGGCTTATTGCTATTGAAAATCTTCATGAGGAAATTGTAAAGAAGGGTAATTCTATTACCGAAACGATGTCAGCTAAATTTAGAAATTATGTCGAAGATCTGTATTTTATACTTGAAACCGAAGGATTATTCGAAGAATTTCAAACAGAAATGGAAATGAAAAATTTCTCAAATACTGTTAAGAAAATAAAGTTATTCAATTAAACGGTTCTAGTGCCGGTGGGCGTACATAATTATATTTTAACCGGAACTAGTTTGTAATTCATCACTTTGTTAGCTATTTAGAAATTTTATTACATGTATAACGTCCACAGTCATTGCTTTGAGACACAATTTAATGAATGATAAGAATTAATTTATCCAAAGATTTATAAATTAATTATTGGCATTCTTTAAATTATGTGCTTTAAAAAAGCTTCTAGGACCGTTGTTTCGTGTGTTCGGCATCATATCAAACAACTCAAGCATAACCATCGAGATCAGTTACATGATTATTTATAATCAATATTTAAAATTTTAGTCACAATAAAGAGCAAAATATTTTTTCGAAAAAAAAAATTCCAAAGAAATTTTTTTGATATATATATATATCCTGTATAAACTCAAAGTTACTAATTGGTTACAAAAGACTCTTAGTAACTTTTATTTCTCAGTACCCTCTTTTTAAAAAATGATATACCGTATCATCTCGAAATAACACCCAGGGACTACACGCACTATGAAGAGAACTAAGAATTAATTTAATCGAATGCGAACGATAAAATTTTAATGAAAAAATCTTCACTTAAATTAATTCTCAGCGCTCTTTAATTTGTGTATCCCGAAATAACGTCCTGGGCGCTATTTCTAGATGAGACAATAAAATAGAATAATTTTAAAATGTGTAACCTTTTATAAAAGAAACATTTTTAAAACTGCTCGGTAATTTTAAAGAACAAAGTTACTGCCCAGATTTTAAAATTTTGCTTTTGTAAGAAGTTTGCATTTTTAAATTTATTTAAGTTGAAACATATGAAACAATAGTAATTTTTAAAATACATTAATTTTTATATCAATTCTTATACAGAAGGGTTTACAAAAAATATTTTGCAAATTTTAGAATTAATATTACATCACTTAGTTTTTTGAAAAACCTTTTATACAAATTCATAGTGATTTAAATATTGAAAACATGTACAATATAGACTACTAGCACCATATTTAGTATAATCTTATTATTACTAAATATGTTGATATATAGAAGAAATCAATAGAAAAACAATCATTTTTAGTAAAATTTTTTAATTTTTAAATTAAAATATCTTAGCAATTATCTAATCAAATTAGACAAATTTCTATTTTAATCTTAAAATTATATAAAATTAAAATAAAAAATATTAAATTTGATTATTGTTAAAATATTTAATTTCAAAGTTAAAAACTTAAATTTAGAGAAAATTTGCCCTTTTCTATTGATTCACCCTTATATTTATTATATATTTTTGATAGACTCTGTGGCTTAAAAAATTTTTATATTATTTATTTTTTTAGATTTTATTTAATATTTTTTATTTTTTTTATAAAACAAGGTTCAAAGATATATATCAAGGGAGTTTGATAGTTATTTATGTCATTTTATATAAGGTTTTAAATATTTATTTATAACTTAATTTTGTAGATTTAAAATCAAGGATATAGAACTTTTTAAGTAATAGTAGACGAGTCTATGATTTGTGGTATGAAAGGTAATGATATTGAGTGTAGATGGGTAGGTTTTAAATTTTAATGATTAATGAATATGTGATGTCAATAGTAGGTAGATTTGTATTGTGGTTTATTCTATAGATAATTTATGATCTAGTGAAGTTAAGTTCATAATCTAGATAGGGATTAATTATTGATTTTAATAGTGGATGGTTTATGGCTTTATATGCAGATGCGTTCATGATTTTGATAATGGGCGAGTTTATAGTTCCAATAGCTGGTAGATTTATGATTGTAACAGGAAATGAGTTTATTATTTTAATATTAATACTCCGACAGTGGATAAGTTCATGAGTTTATCATTTTAATGTTAATATCTTGACGATAGATCCGTTTATGATTTAATGATGGGGGTATATGATGTTAATCGTAGGTTAACGGTGATTTAAGAGGCAGTTTTTTTATTTTAATGTTAAGTGAGTTTGCTTTTTAATTATAGATAAGGTCAAGAGTGAGTTTGTAATTTCAACGATGCGAGTTTCGATATAATAGTAGAATGAGGGGAGCCTTAATTTTCTCCACCGCTTGTCATTGATATCTAATAATTCACTCATTGGCGTGAATCAAATTTCAAGATCAGGTGCGACGTAAAAGAAGTGTAAAAAATACCAAATAGCTTATAACTTTATATTCAATTTATGAAACAATCTTCTGCGCACTAATAAAAAAATTACCTTATAAAGTTTTAATATGAGTAATATCTTTTAAACATAATTTAACGGGCAAATATCAACTTAATATAAAAGCGGAAATTTTTTATTTGAAATATTTTTTTGATTAATAACATAAATATACTGAGGATTGAGTAATTAGTACAGCTAATGAGAAGTGGTGGTAAATTTAGTAAACTCTGTAATGAGTGGGTTATTGTTTAATAATGAGTGGAAGAATTTAATGATATTTATGATCTAATGATAGTTGTTTATTTGTATAAAGATTTTAGTCACATTTGTTTGGGTGGTTTATTGATGGTTTGATGGTTTAATTAATTAAACCGATTTGGTTTGTGCCAGAAGCACGGGTCTTTTGTTAGTTTATTATAAAGATGAGACGTGATACATGTTAATTATTGTTAAGACAATCGAGTATATATTTATTATAGTGATAATAGAATCTGTTGTTTATTTTAATGTGGAGTAAGCTTGGAATTATTTAAAATTATTTAGATTTTAAATCTGAAATAAATTTATTATGTTATCAGTATATATTTTCATTTTTATTTTTAAAATTATATTTAATATTGATTGTATTCTATATAATCATTAATCCTAAAGAAGGAAGCATCGGCAAGAAACATTGTTAGCATATCTTGACAAGGATAATTAACATGAAGAGGTAAATTGTCTAAAAAAGTAAGAAAAGAACTTAAATGATCAGGAATAAGAAAATTCTTAGCAAAATTCAAGTGAATAAGTTGAGTATTTGACATTATTTTTAATTGATCGAAATATTGAAGAAGATTTCTTATACGTTTGAAAACGTTTTTAGGCATGAACCTGATACTCGATCTCACATTTGAAGTATGGAAGAAATTATGACAATGTTGAAGGATAATTGATTCGTCTTCTTCAATATTACGTTTTGAGTAATCTAAGTGGACGGATTGAAGATACATAGCGAATTTGTAAGCAGCCTGATATCGTCAAATGTTTCGAGCTCGAAGTAAGGTGGAATAAGTGACTCGAATTAGAGGGAGGATTTGGGAGCGATGAGTCCAAATAGTACTTATGCAATCAATAGATTGCAAATTATGATTTTTAAAATTTGTAATAATGGGCATATTATTCTTTTTTTTTTTCTAATTAAAAAAAGAAAAAAGTTTACATGTATATATATACATGATATTACTCATCGTCAATGATAATCATGGAATAATGTTTATTTATTTATTAAATATGGAGTAAACAATTTATCAAATGATACACAAAATTGTTACTAATACTACTCTGTATGTACCACCAATAAAGAGATGACCCATACAATTCATGGCCAAAATGCTTTTCATGAGAAAGAAATGCCAATCATTCTTATAGTCGTAAAGAGAATCGGTAAAAATAATCATATACAAAATAGGTCTTTGCACTGCAACTTGTAGCCGCAGAGCCAAATACAAAATAGGTCCTTGCACTGCCACATGCAGCTGTGAAGCCAAATACAAAATAGGTCCTTGCGCTGGTATTAGCAGCTGTGGAGCCAAGTACAAAATAGGTAATTGCACTGCCACTTGCAGCTGCGGAGCTAAATATAAAATAGATCCTTGCACTGCCACTTGCAGCCGTGGAGTCAAATAACAGGTCCTTGTACTGCTCGCGCAGCCGTAGAGCCTGTGCTGAAAGAGATAATATGAGCAGTAAAGGATTTGGAAAATATTTTTATGACTTATTTATTATAATAACATCATTGGTTCAAATCTGAGTGGGTAAGAGAGGGTGATAGAGCCAGCCTTTCACAAGGCGAACAATAGCAAACAGAAAGATAACCCTCTTTACTCAAGACAACAGGCCTTAAATACTTTCTTCTTATTTTCTTGCATCACGATTCGTTCCTGGTACCAATTTCACAATACTCATAACAATACGCAATTCAAATAATCATATGTCAATCCAAAATTACCTGTAAATACAAGTTACAACAATAATCAATGAATAACCATAAAAGGATACATAAAAAAACCTGGAGTGTGATCGGCTATAAAGTCATCTGATCTCACAATAATGATTGCCCGTTGACAGGCTTTTCAGTTTTCTGTAATATATAATTCGTTGGCACTAGTAACGATTTTTAAGATCTATAATACAAAGGGAGAAGTATTTGAACAATTAATTTTTCCAATCAATCAATGAAAAATTTCAGCTAATAAACGCAAGTATATGAAAAAAAGGATGTCTGGGCCTCCATCTCTTGTTAATTAGAACGATAATTAAATTTTTATCACTGACGTATTAAACTACTATCACATGCTTATTCATTGGAATAATAAGTACAATTGATTTGATAAACTATTTTTTTATTAATTAAAATTTACTATTTGACCCATTCCGACAGATTGACTTATAAGCTTAAGAACACCCTATGTCAGCTAAGTCATGTTAAAAATTGACCACGATAACTAATTTTTGTATGTAAATGAGGAATAGTTAGATTTTGATAATCGTTAACACAACATATATATAGATTAAATCCCACGAATCAGTAATATACAAGGTAAAATAATTATTGTCGAGTAATGAATTGACTGAAATGGTTATTGTATAGTGATATTAGTCATTGATATTCGATGGTTACAGCTGGATCAGTTCTGATAGCATTTAGTTCAAATGATAAGATGTTTAATGAGTCCCATGATGGAGCTCTACTAAATGCTACATAAGATTGACCATATGCAAACATTTGGTCATCAGCTGATATTGAAACGTGGGGATTGTTAAACCTTGTGTTTTATGCACTGTAAGTGCAAAAGCATTTTGAAGGGGGAATTGGTGTCGACTAGCAGGTGTGCCGTTTATATGGAAGTGTTTTGTAGTTTTTTTTATAGTAGCAGAGATAATTGTTTGTGTTGTTGGAAATGCAACATCTATTGTATTTTCATCTATAATATTTGAAATAACACCAATAAAACCATTGCATAATCCTTGATCGAACAAAAGGTTGTCCAGGTATATAACACGTGCACCTTGTTGTAAAATTAAGGTAGGAGGTAAGTTTGTTTGGTGACGAAAAACACGATTGTTTTCTGTTGGATCATACTCTTCACCGTTAATATGATCGATTGCTGTTGAGATAATAGGTTCAAATTCTTGTGAAATTGAAGGAAAAGATAAACACGCTAATTTATTTATCTCATCTGCCATAGCTCGAAATCCAACAATATGAGTGGTATCTGTTGGAGAACATAATGAGAGATTTTTTATTTTTTCTTCAATAATTTGTAAAGTGGTAGATGACAGATTTCCAACTCAAATTTCTTCTAAGATTTTATAGAAATTAGAGTCACGATTTTGTCTATGAGGAGTTGTCAAGAATAAAGGATAAAATTCAGACCAAACTGGTGAGTGAAAAACTTGAGCACCATTAACAGGAGGTAATTGAAAAAGATCACCAATTAACAAAACTCTAATTCCACCAAATAGTAAAACATTGTTGTGTAGACGAGAAAAAAGATTACTAATAAAAGTTAGTAGATTTGCAGATATCATAGATATTTCATCAATAATAACAACATCAATTTGTAGAAGATATTGACGGTATTCTTGATCATAAAATGCAAGACTTTCAAAATTATTAGTTGAAGGGTGAATTTTTAGTTGTGAGTATATAGTTTTGCCTTCAATGTTTTGAGCAGCAACACCTGTTAAAGCCATTACTAAAAATTTTTTGCGTGTGATAAAAGATGATTTATAATTAATTTAATCATATAAGATTTTCCTGTGCCTGCTGAGCCAGTTAAAAAAAAATAAGGATGACCATGTTCAGCAGCATTACCCCAAGCAGAAGTTAATATATTGAAAACAGTATATTGATCAGTTGGTGTTTCTAATAAAGAATTACGAGGAACTGAAGAAGTATATCTTATTAATGATTCTAGTTGTTTGCGTATTATTAGTGTAATATTTTGAGGCATGTCATTTACAATATGATCTATTATTCGACGATAATTATAGGAGAATCTGAGAAATTGAGTTCTTGAAGATTGATGGACATATTGTATTTCTCTTGCATATTGTTCAGGAAATTTTGCTTGATAATAAGCTCGATAATTTGGATATTGTCCAAGTAGTTCTTGTTCATTTCTCCAAGGCATCAAAGTTAATAACTGTTGATAGAAATAAGATTCACTATTATCAGCAGTTAGATGGTGAAATCGTGTTAAAATACTTTTTTTACGTTTTATTATAAATCTTCCTGTTTGATTAATCCAATATGTTGTATTTGAATTGGGACAATTATGTTGTATTCGATAAAGTTGATGATAGTGAGGATATGTAATATTATCAAAGAGTAGATCAATAGGCCTATTTATAGATATTTATTATAGCTATATAAATTTATTTTTAAAAAATTAAGATTTTTGCTAGAAAAATAAACTAAGAATATGTAGAATTTATAGATGAAATTTGATTCAATAGCTATCAAATGATACAATAGATTTTTTTAATTTTGTAAAGTTAAATTTTAAAAAAATATTGGATATTAAATAGCGATTGAACTAAATTTTATATATAAATTTTATATATTTTTAGAAGGTTATTTTTTTAGCAAGAATAGTAATTATATATAAATATTATTATTGTATAATTGTAATTTTAATACAATTTACCTTGAAAAATATTTATTAATAGCATCATTCCAGTAAGGATTTGATTCATTATTTTCTAACAAATAAATTGGTTTTATAGATTTTGCTCTCATATTAGGGGGAGAGGATGGTAGGTATTGAACAGCAATAGAAGAACAGCAAATTTTATATCCAAGTAAAAGAATTATAAGCTCCATAGAACCAAGTCTTTGAGCTAAGATATGAGATCGGTAAGCATTATGTTCTCTTAGTTCAAATAAGCCAGGTTGCTCTGGTTTTGTGATATATTTAGTCATATATTTTGCAAAAGATTTTGAACTAACATATTGAAAATTACAATGTCCTTGCCATAGTAGTAATGTTGGAGCATGATTTGGAACTACCCAACGATCTTCTTCTTTTGTTCGACGATAAGTATATCGTAAAGAAGAAGGATTGAGGTATGTATAATGTGATAATGGAGCTGGGAACTTTTTGTTACATTGTTCACCAGGAAGTGGTGGCCCATTACATTTATCCGGACAACATTGATGAATTTGATGAGTATATACCAGGTTATAAAGAATTGGTTCAGATACAGGATCAGGTAAATCTGCACGAATAATATTGTTTTCAATTAATGCTGATATTGATTTGTCAAGAAAGGCTACGCTATGTATATGTATTGATCCTCAGTTTTGAAATTCATCTCTTTCAAAATAATGTAACCATTGACCCCATTCTGATAAATTAGGTTTTTTCCATAGTAATTTACGAATAGAGTTAATTTATGATGATAATGTAGGTACGTATGTACTGGACGATTTGTTGGTATAGTGGAATAGTTATTAGTGTAAGATAAAATTTTGTTTAAGTGATGCCAACGCCCTTCAGCCATAGTCATAGTATAAAAAATTTGGGGTAAGCCAAAATTTTGAACAATTGTGTTAATTGAATGTTCACGCTAATGATAATAAGTATTTTCTGTTCTAATATATGATGGAACTGTAATAGTTAATGATTCATTTATAATTAAACAATTATTATAGATACTTTGATCAATTAAATCAGCAGTAGTTGGAAGCTGTTGATGATCAGTCATTTTTTGCCGTAATATACGTTGTTTATTCTAATAATTTCTTAATTTTTCTAAATTAAGATAAGACCAATGTGGCCAGTACCAGTGAAGCCGAAAGCGTGGATCTGGACATAACATACGTAATTTGATATATTTACAATATGTATCAATTTTGTGTTGATTATTCAGTGTTTCTTCAGAAAGTTCACCCCAATGACCATAACCATCTGGGAAAAGGTCAGGAAAGAGAATAGCTTCTAAATTTGGATCACCAAATTTAATTGGAAGTTTTATATTACTAGAATTTACAATAAAACCTGCCATTAATCTATTGTAATGATAATTTTCATTATGTATTTCAGGGTTAAAATTTTCTGGTAGTACTACTAAATCTGGTCGATGATATAAAGATATATTGTTATTTGTTAAATTTGTTTGATCATTAATCAATCTAGCAGAAGAAAAAGAAGAAGGAGCTTGAGTAGTAAAAATAGGTAAAGCTATTTGATTAAATGGTCTAAATAGAGGATTATTGTTCTTTAACCAATCTGCTGCATATAACAAAGTTTTACGAAACCAGTTATTATTAGTAGTATGATCTAGAATTGCATCTAGTGTACCAAAATATAAATATAAAGCACGAATATTCCTTGATAAACCAAAATCTCCAGTAAGATGACGATAATGTGTAAATTGATTTGAACTTTCTGCACGTCCTAAAGAACAACTTAAATGAATCGGAGAAAGCCACCAACGATGATACATTGGAACATTATTTAGTTCATCTGGGATTGGAGCTACTGTTGGAGCAGAACGATGCTTTGCAGTAGTTTTACATGATGCATAAACAGCAACATGATTCATTTTACTAGGATGTTTAGTAAGAGACAGAAGTGGAAAAGCTCTAAGAAGATCATAACTTTCATTAATATTGAATTCTACCCACATGGCTTGATTTGGTAACATAAGGATAGAACAATGTGAACAGGGAACACATGGGAACATATACAAAATTTCTTTCTGAAAACAATTATTAAGATGGCTTAGAGCCCGAGATGGTTGCCATGGTGGAAAGGATGTTGGTGTAGAATCTGATTGTAATGTGGTATGTAAAGAAATGCTATGCAAAGGATTTTCATTAACATTTAATGGCATATTTTCATTTGAAAGAATACTAATACTTAATTCATTGTAATTATAATCATTGTACAAGTCTTCGATTGTTGTATGAATTATCTGATAAGACATAGCGATGTTTAAATTTCAACAGTAAATTTTATAATAATTTTGAAATTTTGATTTTTAGTTTCAGAAATTAATTTTTAATTTCAGATTCTATAAATGTATTATTTATATTCAAGTTCAAGTAAGTTAAATATTAGTATAAAATAAGTTGCAATAAAGTATCTTGGAGTGTATGCATTGGATTAAGAATAAGATAAAATTTGACGTGTTAGTGTTAGATATCAAATAGTCACAAAAAAGCACTTAAAGTATTATTGCATGCGTGTTAAAAGTGAAGTAATTTTTTATGTGTTATTATTGAGTGTAAAATAAGTTACAATGGAAAAGCAAAAAGCTCTCAAAAGTATTATTGTATATGTGTTAAAAATATTATAATTCTTAACATGTCAGTATTTAACATAAATGAGTTGCAGTCAAAAAAGCAAAATCTTTAAGGTATTATTGTAAATGAGTTAAAAATAATATAAATACTAACGTGTCAGTGTTCAAAATATTTTACAAAGTGATGATAAACCGGTTAAAATTTAATATGCAGATGTTAAAAACATTATACTTGTTATGCGTATTAATAATAGAACATTTCACAGAGAAAAAGTAAAATATTTTTATTAAACATAATTACGTGTTAAAAATATTATAACTGATAAACATAAACATGCCAGCGTCAAGATACTGTACATAATGTAAAACTGAATTTTCTTAAATCTATTGATAATTTATTATAAGCGGAAAAAAATTATTATAATGATTTCGCGTCATAGTATTAAAGTATTTATAAAAAAAAAATTTTAAATTTCGGGTCAAATATTAATATCATTACAGTTTTTCTTTGAAAGTCATGACATAGAAATATCAGAAATGTGTATTGTATATAAGCCCAGAAATATTGTGAGGCTAAGTACGTGGCTCCAAATATTTATATATTTGTCATTTTTATATACAGATTTTTTTTATCTGTTTATTTATACAAGACGTGAAGATTAGACGTAGACTAATAAAGCTTAGAGTTGGATAAGAGATAGGATTAGACCCGGAAAAAGTTATACAAATCGTTCGGAAACAGTTAAAGGGGGTGTTGTCACGTTCAGGGGAGAGACTTTTTATTAATAGCACCAATTTAGTGCAGGATCGTGAGCATAAAAATGGTAACCTGAATATCTTATTTACGAACTTAAAGCACTTTAGGGTATTAAACAAATGTCTTTATTGTGTACCAGGCACACTATTAGTACTATTACACTCATTTCCTTAACTACTTAGCAAGTTTCAAACTTACTAAGAGTCCAAACGAAAACTACTCAAAGGCCCTCTAAAACTAACTAACTTAAAAAGTACTTCTAAAACTCTACGTACTAACGTTCTATATGTCTACATTTATACATATAATTAAACTACAAATTGACTATTTACTATTTACAAGTATGTAGTATAACAATATAAAAGTCTAATTAAAGTATACTCTTTACTATAAACTTCGCTTAGACTATTATAGAGTTACACTACATATTACCCATGTTCCACAAACCAAAGTTTAATTCTGAAACTTGGTTGCGTCACAGTGTTAAAGTTGTTTTTTCAAGCCTATGTTTAATCCAAAAAGATTAGAAGTGAGGTAAAAATGTAAAAGTCCATCTCCATGCGCCATGAATATATAAAAAAAAATCGTTTTTTGCTTCTTGAATAATGCTTTAGACTTCGATGTCTTCGTTAAAAAGAATCGATCTCAGATTATTTACATAATATCACGTGTTTAAGAGATTGTACTAGTTATTTATTAATTTAGTTCTAACACAAAGAAAATATAAGTTAAATATTGAAGTCAATAGCTTTATGTATTGTATTAAGGTTGTATCAAATATTAGTTTGGATCAATTTACTACAAAACCCATTCTCCTCTTTTAGAGATTGGCAAAATTATTAGATTCTTACTTAACAGTATTTAATAATACTCAAAATTTTAACAGGTAATAAATACTTGAAACTACTTAACATTAAGATATTACATCTTACTGATAATTTTATTTACAGGGAATGCTTATTTATAAACTCGTAGTAGTTTGATCGGTGGATCATAAAATTTTAGGTAATAGCAATCTTATCACGAATAAAAACTCACGATTGCGATTCAAGCTTTATTTATAATAGAACAGAGTAAGTCTCAAGTAAACCACACTTACAAAATTACTTCATTATTTGTAAATCTTCCACCTTCCAATCCAATCAATCTGTTTAGTTAAATTCATAAATTTAGACCTAAGGTTCTACCTACTTTTACTACTTTATAAATTGGTTGATATTTGATACATTTTTTATTAAATTCCCAATTGACACAATGATAAAAATTTTTTGTAGTATTTTATTTACTATATAAAACTTTTAGAAAACTGTTCAAGTTTACCAAAAGTTTTTTGAACGGTTAGAGAATCACAAGTAGCACTATGCGGTATTTACGAACAAAAGGTAGAATATTCCTAAAATATCTAATCAATAAAATTGACATTATTTAATCAATAAAATTGACATTATTTAATCAATAAAATTGACATTATTTAATCAATAAAATTGACATTATTTAATCAAT